GTTCTTCTGAACCAAACGTCTTACAAACGATATGTTATCCTCAAAAACCAGAATAACTCTAAAAAAAATTGACTCAAATAAAAAACACCACTCCTTAATGTCGCATGTTTTGTTGTTAACAATTTTATATATTTTTATACATTAGTATGTTTAAGGGTTCTTGTTTTCGCAATTAAAAATCTTATCCATTTACATGTATCATACATACATTTACAAATATGTACATACATAGGTGAACATATCGTTTTCGTTGCTTTAAATTACATTCTTATTTGATTTAAAATTTACATTTCAACGTGAAAATATTTAATATTAGATATTTATAGGTGTGAAACAAAATTTATAAAATTATATATATATAGCTTTATATATATATAGGTGCTTCACAGGTGCCAAAGAGTACGGGTACTTCTAGAAGGGCCACAGACATGGGACAAAAGGCATTAGATAGAGTTTTGCCTCCAGGGTGCCAGAAAAATCTGACATTGGAACTTTTTAGCCCCGAAATAGCTTTTTTATTTTAAATCTTAAATATTTTAAGATTTTCTGAAAAAATTTTTGTATAACAAAAGCACGTTTTTCTTTTATACTTTTTATAATTAGAAACGCAAACCAAGAAATAAGTGATATGTTTTACGTTATTATTAGAAACACAATCCGAGAAATAAATAATATTTGAAAATATAATGATCTCACATATTTTTGGTTCGGAGAATCGAAATAATTTTAACGTAAATAAATGTTAGCTTTTGTCAAAGACATCAGATGTTTTGTGGCATCTGAATAATAATGCTTCATTTGTTGTTGTTTTCCATATTATGTTTCGTCACCAAGCTTTAAAAAAATATACATACAGAATATAATATATGTACGTATGTAGTTAGAATTTTACTTTTATTGTTCCAAACGAAAAACTGTAAAATGCTAAATTTTAATACATTCATATGTACATACATGTATTTGAACAAAATTATTATTTTGTTTTTGCCTAAACCTTTTCTTTATTTAAATAATTACATTCATATGTACATACATATATTTGAATACAATTATTATTTTATTTTTGCCTAAACCTTTTCTTTATTTGAAAAATTTATTTATGTATATTACCCCCATGATTTAATAATTATTATGTGTTTCTATATGCCAAACCGCAGTTTTGAATATTATTCAATTCATATAGGAAGCTTAAAAAAAATTAGATGGGAAGCTTTAAAAAAAAAGTACATACATATTTATGTACTTAACTATTATAACAATATTTTTTTGGAAATTTTCTTTAAACTTTTATAATAATATTTACCTGTTATATATTAAAAAAAAAAATAAAACAAAAAATTTAAACAAAATAAAAAAAAAAATTTAAAATAATCCAAAAAAAGAATAATACAACAACATCCCAGGCAAGCATTGACCCAATAACTTTCTGGCTATCGGACTCCCACGCTATCCACTAGGCTACGCAGTACCTTGAATTTCCCTGTATAATTCTATATTTTATTCATATTTCGTATAACTCTTCAAAAACCATTCTATTTTACATTATATATATATAGCTACTTCATAGGTTCCAAAAAGTACGGGTACTTCTAGAAGGGCTAGAGACATGGGACAAAAGGCATTAGATAGAGTTTTGCCTCCAGGATCCCAGAAAAAGCATTAATTCCACCCGCTCTGACCCTTCACTCCCTCCCAAGATGCTTTGCAACCGTTTTTTACAAAATGGTACTACATATGGTAGGGGTAATTTTTTATTTACTTTTGGTTTATAATAAGTATGTACGTGCGCATTTAGTTATGTATTCTTTTCATGATCTGCTGCAAAATGTATTAGTAAGCAAAACATATGTAAGTGTACATTAAACTTCTTGACAATATATTTTTAGGGCAAAATTTTATAAGAAAATGTTATTCTATTGCATTAAACTTTTTACAAATACAAAATTTGTTGCCATCACATAACCTACCTATTGTATACACAATACGGTCGGTAAAAAATAAAATTATCAATAAAAAAAAAAGTTCATATGGCAAATCGCATTTTCCAGGATTCGAACCAGGGACTTTTTGCATAGAGATCGTATGCTATAAGCTTTACAATATAAAGTATAAGTATTAACTAATTATATATTCACGCGTTTTATTCGCATGTATTATAAAATCCAAATTCATACGTGCATGGATTTTAGTAACGAATTATTTTAAACGTATACCGTAATTTATCGCTTAAGGTGCTTATTGTCAAAATAAATTACTAAAAAGATATTAGATCTTAAAAGAACTAATTATTTGTTTAATTATGTACTTTTTCGTAATTATTTTTAAGAGCATTTCTTATTAGCACTTTTCCAAAAATTTTTTGAAAAAAAGTGCTTATTAGTTTCACTCTGTCCGTCCGCCCGTCCGTCCGTCCGTCAGTCCGTCCGTCCGTCCGTCAGTCCGTCCGTCCGTCCGTCCGTCTGTCCGTCCGTCCGTCCGTCCGTCCGTCCGTCCGTCCGTCTGTCCGTGTGTCTGTTTACAAAACTTCTACACCCTTGAAGATAGAAAGCTGAAATTTTATATGTACATAGATCTTTACTAGAAACTTATTTCTGTAGAACAAAATTTTTACCTATCTCCTCCCCTCTAGAAGTTATACCCCCCCAAAACCCTAAAAATGGCCTTTTTAGCACTTTTCCAAAAATTTTTTGAAAAAAAGTGCTTATTAGTTTCACTCTGTCCGTCCGTCCGTCCGTCCGTCCGTCCGTCCGTCCGTCCGTCCGTCCGTCCGTCCGTCCGTCTGTCCGTGTGTCTGTTTACAAAACTTCTACACCCTTGAAGATAGAAAGCTGAAATTTTATATGTACATAGATCTTTACTAGAAACTTATTTCTGTAGAACAAAATTTTTACCTATCTCCTCCCCTCTAGAAGTTATACCCCCCCAAAACCCTAAAAATGGCCTTTTTTAACTATTTGTTGCAATGAAACCATAAGCATTTTTGAAATTTTGCAAACGCAGAAAAGCAGCGGCTTGCTTCCCCTAGCGCGGCATACTATACTGAACTTTAGAAAAACAAAATGGCCGTTCAAATTTACCGTTATCTAAAGTCCTTTTTTTGCAAATTTTTGATGTCGTTTTTTTTCCAAACTACATTGTGTAGAAGCTTGAAATTTTAGGAGTTTTTAGACATTATCAAATAGTTCATTTCGCTAGAAGAAAATTTTTTTCCATCTCCACCCCCTCTCAAGTTATCGCCTCTTGAAATTTGTAAAATTTGAATTTTTGACACCTTATATTTCCGAAACCGCAAGCTTTTTCAAATTTCTATTAACGCAAAAAGTTAACGGTAAATTCAATGAAATTAAAAAATATAATTATTTTTCTTAACTCACAAAATTAAACCTTAAAATCGAGCATTATGTTAAACCCACTTTATATTAATTTTTGCTTTATTTCAAAGACTGCATAAATCATTCATCCTAAATATATGCAACCCTAGAAATAGTTTTGTATATGAATGAAAATAATTTTAATAGTGTGATAGGTACATAGACTACATAGACTGTATTTAAAAGCAAAATTTTCATTTGTTGAAGGGAAAAGTGCTACAATACAAACCATTGGTTTGACCCAACTTTATTTAACTATTTGTTGCAATGAAACCATAAGCATTTTTGAAATTTTGCAAACGCAGAAAAGCAGCGGCTTACTTCCCCTAGCGCGGCATACTATATTTGAACTTTAGAAAAACAAAATGGCCGTTCAAATTTACCGTTATCTAAAGTCCTTTTTTTGCAAATTTTTGATGTCGTTTTTTTTCCAAACTACAGCCTGTAGAAGCTTGAAATTTGAGGAGCTTTTAGACATTATCAAATAGTTCATTTTGCTAGAAGAAAATTTTTTTCCATCTCCACCCCCTCTCAAGTTATCGCCTCTTGAAATTTGTAAAATTTGAATTTTTGACACCTTATATTTCCGAAACCGCAAGCTTTTTCAAATTTCTATTAACGCAAAAAGTTAACGGTAAATTCCATGAAATTAAAAAATATAATTATTTTTCTTAACTCACAAAATTAAACCTTAAAATCGAGCATTATGTTAACCCCACTTTATATTAATTTTTGCTTTATTTCAAAGACTGCATAAATCATTCATCCTAAATTTTGGTGGAGATGGAAAAAAATTTTCTTCTAGCGAAATGAACTATTTGATAATGTCTAAAAACTTCTAAAATTTCAAGCTTCTACAGGATGTAGTTTGGAAAAAAAACGACATCAAAAATTTGCAAAAAAAGGACTTTAGATAACGGTAAATTTGAACGGCCATTTTGTTTTTCTAAAGTTCAAATATAGTATGCCGCGCTAGCGGAAGCAAGCCGCTGCTTTTCTGCGTTTGCAAAATTTCAAAAATGCTTATGGTTTCATTGCAACAAATAGTTAAAAAAGGCCATTTTTAGGGTTTTGGGGGGGTATAACTTCTAGAGGGGAGGAGATAGGTAAAAATTTTGTTCTACAGAAATAAGTTTCTAGTAAAGATCTATGTACATATAAAATTTCAGCTTTCTATCTTCAAGGGTGTAGAAGTTTTGTAAACAGACACACGGACAGACGGACGGACGGACGGACGGACGGACAGACGGACGGACGGACGGACGGACGGACGGACGGACGGACGGATGGACGAACGAACGGACGGACGGACGGACGGACGGACGGACGGACGGACGGACGGACGGACGAACGGACAGAGTGAAACTAATAAGCACTTTTTTTCAAAAAATTTTTGGAAAAGTGCTAAAAATAATTTCAATAGAAAATAAATTGATGAAAAACGTACGAATTATATCGAAGTTGACCCGATTAAAGCAGTTCGGAAAAATTTTTTAATTTTGAAATTTGTGGCCTTACGCTTACCAGGGCAGTGATGTATTGTTTAGGTAACATAAGTTTGCATTAGTTCGATATATACACTGTAAACAAATTTTATTTTGATGTCATAGCATGTTTGTAAGTAACGAAATGCATACTCACGATACCAGAGCTGCTAACAATATTAGAATTACACTCCCAAAAGCGAAATTCAACAGTCAAGAGAGAATTATTAACGCAACTTATCTTATCTTCAATGAATTAGCGTCTGACATAAAAAGCATTAAAGAAAAAAACAATGAGAGACAAGAATTTTCAACAACTTGTTATAACGTTTCTGTTTTTATAGTTCGTGTATCTCAAGTTCGGCTGAACCGATTTTGATGAAATTTTATATGTAAGTTTATTTCGACCATGGCACGGATTGATCAACTTTTGGGATATATCAATCCTCGGGAACGGCACTTTTTGGCGGGACTGCTTTACAGTTTTGAACATTTTGAAGAAAATATTCAACCGATTTACTTGATATTTTATATATAAGCTCAGCTCGATCGTCCGCGAAAATTCCTATGTTTTGGAAGAAATTTAATATTTGAATTCCTCATATTAAAGCAATGAACATGTAAATTTTTTGGAAAGATCAGGCATCGGCAAATAGACGTTTACTACGGGCCAAACATACACTTTTGTGTATATAAAGGGAAATAATCAACCAATTTCATTGAAATTTACTATATGAATTCCTCGTATCAAAGCAATGAATGTATAAATTTTTTGGAAAGATCAGGGCTTGAAAACTGATTTGCGGGCTGATTTTACATTTTTCAGCATTTTGAAGAAAATATTCAACCGATTTACTTGAAATTACATATTTGAGTTTTGCTCGACCGTCCGCGAAAATTCCTAACTTTTGGAAAGATCAGGCATCGGCAAATAGACGTTTACTACGGGCCAAATATACACTTTTGTGTATATAAAGGGAAATAATCAACCAATTTCATTGAAATTTACTATATGAATGCCTCATGTTAAAGCAATGAATATATAAATTTTTTGGAAAGGTCAGGGCTCGAAAACTGATTTGTGGGCCGATTTTATATTTTTCACCATATCTACGGAACGAATTGATGGAATTTCTTGAAATTCGATATTTGAGTTCTGGTTGTTACCGAAACTAATTGGCGAGTATTTCAGTGTTTCACAAAGCGAAACTCTACTAAGAGCCAAATTTACATTTTTCTAGTTATGTTAACTATAAGCCTACTAATGTCCTAAAAATTGGAAAGAAGTATTTAACAGTCATTCTCATAAAATTCAGTAACACGTTCATTTAATTAGACAATACACAATGTGTCGGTTATGGGCTGACCACATCAGATTTTTTTTATAATATTCTGTAATACTTTCACTTAGCTAAACAATACACATTGCGGTCGGTTATGTGCCGATCACATCAGATTTTTTTTAATATTGTTATTGATTGTTATAATTTACAGTTATAATATACATAATAGATTTCTGCAAACTAAATTTAATTAATAGAGAAATTAGTGGATCATTCATGAATCATGAAATGAACGCTTAAAGAAAATAAAGTTGGGTCTAACCAATGGTTTGTATTGTAGCATTTTTCTCTTAAACAAGTGAAAATACTGCTTTTAAATACAGTCTATGGACTCCTACCACACTATTGTAATTATTTTCATTCATAAACGAAACTAGTTTTAGGATTGCATATATTTAAGGATGAACGATTTATGCAGTCTTTAAAATAAAGTAAAAATACCCCCTAAAAATGCCAATTTTCAACTATTTACTGTAGTAGAACCATATGCATTTTGTAAATTTTGCAAACGCAAAAAAGCAGTTGGTTGCTTCTTCTATCACGGGATACTATACTTAAACTTAAAAAAAACCAAATGGTCGTTAAAATTTACCGTTATATAAAATTCTTTTTTTTCAAATTTTTGATCTTGTTTTTGTTCTAATCTCCAGGTTTTGGGCGCCTGAAATTTTAGTAGCTTTTAGGCACTAATAAATAGTTCATTTACTCCACCCCCTCTCAAGTTATCGCCTCTTGAAATGTGTAAAATTTGAATTTTTGACGCCTTATATTTCTGGAAACACAAGTTTTTCTAAATTTCTATAAACGGAAAAAGCTAACGGTAAATTCTATGACATTAAAAAATATAATTATTTTTCTTAACTCACGCAATTAACCTTTAAAATCGAGTATTATGTTAACCCCTCTTTATATTAATTTTTGCTTTACTTCAAGGACTGCATAAATTGTTCATCGTAAATATACGCAATCCTAGAAGCAGTTTCGTTTATGAATGAAACTAATTTTTATACCCTGCACTTCGTGAAGGGTATATTAACTTTGGTATGGAGTTTGTAACTACTTGAAGGAGTCATCTGCGGTATGGACATATATATATATTCTTGCTCAGCGTAAAATTCTGCGTCGATTTAGACATGTCCGTCCGTCCGTCCGATCGCACGATAACTCAAAAACGAATAATGCAATCAACACCAAACTTTCACAAGTTTTTTCTTTTGTGCCAAGGACGAACCCTATTGTTATTGGACTAAGTCGGACAACGGGTTCACGTAGCTGCCATACAACTCCAAGAAATTATTTTAAATATTTCAAAAACTAATAAAGGTATAAATATAAAATTTTGTATACATGTGTCCAATTATATTCTACACATGCTCTAAAAATTTTAATGGGATAGCTGCAGCGGTTCGGGTGGCTGCCATACAACTCCAACAGCAAATTTTTTATATTCGGCAAAATAATAAAGTCGGATCCATGAAACTTGGCAGTTATGTGTCCAATTATAGGTCAAATATATTTCTGAAGTTTTGGAGGAATTGCTTGACAGGTTCGGGTACCTGCCATACAACTCCAGAAGCTAATTTTAAATATTTGGAAAAATAATAAAGTCAGATTCATGAAACTTGGCAGTCATGTGTCCAATTATGGACCAAATATATTTCTGAAATTTTGGTGGAATTGCTTGACAGGTTCGAGTAGCTCCCATACAAGTCTAAAAGCTTATTTTAAATATTTGGAAAAATAATAAAGTCAAATTCATGAGACTTGGCAGTCGTGTGTCCAATTATAGGTCAGACATATTTCTAAAGTTTTGGTGCGATTGCTCGACAGGTTCGAGTAGTTCCCATACAAGTCTAAAAGCTTATTCTTAATATTTAGAAAAATAATAAAGTCAGATTCATGAAACTTGGCAGTTGTGTGTCCGATTATAGATCAAATATATTTGTGAAGTTTTAGTGGAATTGCTTGACAGGTTCGGGTACTTGCCATACAACCCTAAAAGCTTATTTTACATATTTGGAAAAATAATAAAGTCAGATTCATGAAACTTGGCAGTCATGTGTCTAATTATGGGTCAAATATATTTCTGAAGTTTTGGTGGAATTGCTTGACAGGTTCGAGTAGCTCCCATACAAGTCTAAAAGCTAATTCTTAATATTTGGAAAAATAATAAAGTCAGATTCATGAAACTTGGTAGTTGTGTGTCCGATTATAGATCAGATATATTTGTGAAGTTTTAGTGGAATTGCTTGACAGGTTCGGGTACTTGCAATACAACTCCAAAAGCTTATTTTACATATTTGGAAAAATAATAAAGGCAGATTCATGAAACTTGGCAGTTGTATGTCGAGTTATAGGTCACATATATTTGTGAAGTTTTGATGGAATTCCTTGACAGGTTCAGGTACTTGCCATACAACTCCAAAAGCTAATTTTAAATATTTGGAAAAATTATAAAGTCAGATTCATGAAACTTGGCAGTCGGGTGTCCAATTATAGGTCAGACATGTCCGTGAAGTTTCTATAGAATGATTTCACAGGTAATTGCTACACAATAACGAAAGGTGCAGGGTATAATTCAATCGGTTTATACCGACTGAAACGTTTTTACTTGTTTTAATAGTGTGGTTGGTATACATAGACTGTATTCAAAAACAGTATTTTCACTTGCTGAAGGGAAAAGTGCTACAATATAAACCATTTGTTTCACCCAACTTTATTTATTCATTCCAAGTACAAGGTGGATAAAAGCCTTGTTTTTAAATTAAACATAGTAACGTATGAAAACATTACTTCTGAACTATAAAAAATTAGGGGAAAAGGTTTTTTTAGATAATACTCGTATATAATTATTACAATTCCAATACACACGCTTTTACTTTATGCAACATTATAAAAGATTGACCTGTCAATTGCGCGTACATAGTTAAAGTAAAACAATCTTTTTTGGTATAAAAATAAAACGTTCTTAATAAAATAATAATTTTTGGGACTAGGAATAAAAAACAAAATTTTATATTCCTGGTAAAATATGTCTTCCTAAAATATGAACCTATATTATTATGTATGTTTCTAAGAAAGAATTAGTTAATATATGAAATATTACTCAATAAGAATATGTTAACAATTAAATCTACGTAAGTACATTTATCTATATATGTACATATTTCTAGATATTTAAAAATGCTGCACATAAATTATTAATGCAAAAGTATCGTGCAAACTTTAAAAATACGTACATGCAAACTTTACAAACTTTAACTTTAAATACGTACATACAAACGTAATTATAACGTCTTTTATTTAATGCATATGTATGCATATATTCTTTTTGGGCATCTAGTTAGAATATCCAAAGAATACTATTTTCTTATGCAAAATTGAATAAAATGATAACCCAAATAAGTTGCCAATTATTTAAAACTACTGTTCTTCTGAACCAAACGTCTTACAAACGATATGTTATCCTCCAAAACCAGAATAACTAAAAAAATATTGACTCAAATAAAAAACACCACTCCTTAATGTCGCATGTTCTGTTGTTAACAATTTTATATATTTTTATACATTAGTATGTTTAAAGGTTCTTATTTTCGCAATTAAAAATCTTATTCATATCATATATACATTTACAAATATGTACATACATAGGTGAACATATTGTTTTTGTTGCTTTAGCTTACATACTTATTTGATTTAAAATTTACATTTCAACGTGAAAATAGTTAATATTAGATATTTATAGGTGTGAAACAAAATGTTGGAACATTACGTCATTCCTTAAACGTGATCAAGAGATTCTAATTGAATTGACAAGTCACAAAATTGATATATGCGCACTGTCAGAGACCAAAAAGAAGGGTAAAGGTAGCACGAAATATAACAACTTTGTTCTCGTATACAGTGGCAAAGATAAAACAGAAAGGGCATCATCAGGAGTTGGTCTACTCATTCATGAAAAATTTGAAAAAAGCATTAGCCATATCGAATACACGAATGATCGTATTCTACTAGTTACCCTAAACTTGCAACAGCACATTAAAACCCACATTATCAGCATTTACGCACCAGACATATCCAAAACAAAAACTGAAAAGGATGCTTTTTACACTGAACTGCAGAAAGTAATAGATAAAATACCACCCAGAGATGAGATAATACTCCTTGGCGATTTCAACGCGCGAGTAGGGAATGATGCAGTTCGTGGAATTAAGCAGAGGTTTAACGAAAGCGAAATGAATGATAATGGTGAGAGACTGACTCAGTTCTGCGCTCAAAATGAATTAAGAATTAACAACACATTCTTTGATCACAAACTCCAACACAAATACACATTTGTAGATTCAAGAGGACGAAAATCAATAATTGATTACATCATTACCAACATCAATGTTCACCCGGCCAAAATAATGGACGTAAGAGTCTTATCATCAGCAAATGTGGGAACTGATCTTAATCTTGTTTTAATGAAGCTCAACTCTAAATTGCCAACCGGAGTAAATCAAACCAGTCAAATCGTTGAAAAGTTTAACACAGAATCATTTGCAAAACTCGTCTACAAAATATTTATACCAAACCAGGATCAACTCAAAGATACAAACAAACAAAATTGAAGAAGAAGATGATGTAAACAATGCCTGGAATAAATTAAAAACAAATATACTCGAAGCAGCGACCGAATCGATTGGTAAACGTACCGTTAATATTAACAACAAAAAACGAAACTTAAAACCATGGTTTTGCGAAGAGGTAAAGGTGCTTGCATCTGAAAAACGTGAGGCTTATTTAAGATTTAAACGCCAACAAGTATCATATAACGAGTATAAGGTAGTGAGAAACAGAATAAATATTGCAATAGACAACATAAAAAAGAACTACTGGGAAAACTTCTCAAACGAGATGGAGCACGACCTATACGGTGCCCCGAAAAAGGTTTGGAACATGCTGAGGAATCGTAAGAAACCAATTAACGAGTACCTGACATTCTCCAATATACAAATCGAGGCATGGGAGGAATATTTTTGTGACTTATATAACAGTGTGGCCTTACCAGATGATTACAGAAATAATAACCAATCATATGCAGGCGGAAGAGCATATTATTTATCCTGCGACATTGTTAAGGCGAACATAAGCAAGCTAAAAAATAGAAAATCTCCCAGAATTGATGAAATTTCGAACGCAATGATAAAGTATGGCGGAGAGCAGTTTCAAAATGAAATAGTTCACCTATTCAACAAAATTCTGACATATAAGCAGGCCCCCAGAGAGTGGAAAAACAGCATAACTGTTCCCATTTTTAAAAAAGGAGACAAGAACTTGCCAGAAAATTATAGAGGGATAACTCTTCTAAGTTCCATGCTGAAACTCTTTACAGAAATTGTGTCAATAGAAGTTGCCGGCACGGGTATTGCAGAAGAACAGCAAGGCTTCCGTACCAATAGATCTACCACTGATGCAATATTTATTCTGAGACAAATTACAGAGAATTCAACTCACCAGCTTATCTTTGTTTTGTTGATCTGACCAAAGTATTTGATAGAGTTCAACTACATGACGTCATAGACCTGCTGAAAAAACGAAACATCAACTCAAATATTGTAGCAGTAATTGAAGATCTGAACACCCAAATAATACCTTCATTAAAGTGGGAAATAACCTCTCAAACCAAGTCCCGACAGTAGCAGGAATCCCCCAAGGAGATAGCCTAAGTCCAGTTCTCTTCAACATCATCATGGACGAGATTATAACTGTAGTAAAATCATCCGCCAGCGGTTACAATATAGGCGATCTTGAGTTGAAAGTGATCTGCTACGCAGATGACGCTGTATTGATCTCAGACAACGAAGATGATCTACAAAGGTTACTATATGCATTTGAAAAGGCTTGCACAAGTTTCAACATGCTAATATCAACAAGCAAGACAAAATCAATGACTATATCAAAGCATCCACTCAGAGTTAAACTAGCTATATACAACCAACCCATAGAACAAGTGATGGAGTTTAAGTATCTCGGTAACTTAATAACATCTTCGAGAGACCTGAGCAAAGAAGTTAAAACACAGTTCATAAAAGCTGCCTCAATATTTGGATATTTGAGGGATGTTATCTGGAAAAACTCTTACATGAGAATCAGCAGCAAAGTCAGGATTTACAAAACATGTGTAAGACCAGTTTTAACATACGGTGTCGAAACAAGAGCTGATACCAAAGAAACGCAGAGTAAAATGCAAACCATTGAAATGCAAACTTTAAGAACAATAGCAGGGTTTACTAAGCTTGATATTATGCCAAACGAAGAAATAAGGAAAATATGCGACATCCAAGATATTAACAAGTGGAGCAGAAGAAGACGTAAAGAATGGAAACAACATGTTCAGAGAATACCCGAAGAAAGAATTGCCAAAGCAGTCATGATCGGGAGGCCAAATAGCCGCAGACCACCTGGTAGGCCTCAAAAAAGATGGCGAGAATGCTGGACATCCGGATCCTCCGATCTTCATTGAAGACTTCTTGTGTTCATTATAAAAATACTTATACAAGGATATGAATAACATATAAATGCCTTTTAGGGGCCATTTATTATAATAGAAAAATGTAAATTTATATAATATGTATTCTATGTTTTATAAAAGAAGCTTTTGTAAAAATAACAGGAAAATTTCCTAAATAAAGAAGAAGAAGAAGAAGAAACAAAATTTATAAAATTATATATATATAGCTACTTCACAGGTGCCAAAAAGTACGGGTACTTCTAGAAGGGCTAGAGACATGGGACAAAAGGCATTAGTTAGAGTTTTGCTTCAGGGTGCCAGAAAAATCTGACATTGGAACTTTTTAGCCCCGAAATAGCTCTATTTTATGATTTTCTGAAAAAAATTTTGTGTAACAAAAGTACGTTTTTCTTTTATACTTTTTATAATTAGAAACACAAACTAAGAAATAAATGATACGTTTTACGTTATTATTAGAAACACAATCCGAGAAATAAATAATATTTGAAAATATAATGATCTCACATATTTTTGGTTCGGAGAATCGAAATAATTTTAACGTAAATAAATGTTAGCTTTTGTCAAAGACATCAGATGTTTTGTGGCATCTGAATAATAATGCTTCATTTGTTGTTGTTTTCCATATTATGTTTCGTCACCAAGCTTTAAAAAAATATACATACAGAATATAATGTGTACGTATGTAGTTAGAATTTCACTTTTATTGTTTCAAACGAAAAACTGTAAAATGCTAAATTTTAATACATTCATATGTACATACATATATTTGAATAAAATTATTATTTTGTTTTTGCCTAAACCTTTTCTTTATTTGAATAATTACATTCATATGTACATACATATATTTGAATACAATTATTATTTTATTTTTGCCTAAACCTTTTCTCTATTTGATTTTGCCTAAATTCTTTTCTTTAAACATCACCTAAAAATATACAAGTTCAGCTTATTTTGATCTGACCGTGGTTTGGACCTGAGACCCTTCGATTAAAGGCTGATGCCATAACAAAAATATCAGATAAAAGGACCCTGCATTGTAAAATGACAATACACTCAATAAAAAAAATTGGTGCTATATTTTTTAGTCTAGAAAACGTGACTTAAAATAACGTTAAGTAAAATTTTATAAGATTTTAATTTAGAAGTTAAGATTGTACTTACTGATTAAGATTGTTAAGACTTTTAAGATTGTTTTAAATTTTATAATGGTGCTTTTACAATCGTTTCAATTTGTCAAACTAGACAAGTAGAATTGTCCCCTACATAAAAGAAAACATAATAAAAATATTATAAAGAAACTGTTTAGGTAATTCAGTGAATTAGACTTACTTACAATTTGCATATACTTCCTATTATAACTAAAAATACATACATACCTAAAAAGAATTACATGGACTTTTAATATCAAAAAAGACCCATATGCAATCATTTTTATGAATTTCATAATATTCATATTAATTTAATTAACATAGTACACACATGAGAAATGCATAGTTATATGATATATATGATATCGTCAGCCGTGGCCTTAACATAAAACAAAATAAATTTCTTATTGCTGAATTTAAATACTCGTAACGCGGTATGTGGTATTCGAAATAACAGTCTTACCGCTGCGGTTAATGAATAACAGAATTCTGGAATATAATATAACGCTTTGCTGAAAATTTTAAATTAAAATTTTTTATCCCTACGTTTCTTATTACCGACCGCATTGTGTATACAATAGGTAGGCTATGTGATGGCAATAAATTTTGCATATCGAGTTTTCGGTGGGAATTCACTTCTCCATAGTAGGGAAGTGTAAATAAACTATTTTTAGCAACCTGTCGGTCTGTCGGTATGTGTGTGCACGCGTGTATCTCAAGTTCTGCTGAACCGCTTTTGATGAAATTTTATATGTAAGTTTATTTCCACCATGCCACGGATTGATCAACTTTTGGGATATATCAAGCCTCGGGAACTGCACTTTTTAGCGGGCCTGTTTTACATTTTTGAACATTTTGAAGAAAATATTCAACCGATTTACTTGAAATTTCATATATGAGCTTTGGTCGGCCGTCCGCAAAAATTCCTAAGATTTTGGAAGAAATCAGGCATCAGCAAGTGAGCGTTTACTACGGGCCAAATATACATTTTTGTGTATAAAAGAGAAATAATCAACCGATTTTATTGAAATTTAATATTTGAATTTCTCGTATTAAAACAATGAACATATAAATTTTTTGGAAAGATCCGGACTCGTGAACTGATCTGCGGGCCGATTTTACATTTTTCACCATATCTACGGAACGAATTGATGGAATTTCTTGAAATTTGATATTTGTGTTCTGGTTGTTACCGAAAATAACTGGCGAGCCTTTCAGGGAACTCGGGTTGCACAAAGCGAAACTCTACTAAGAGTCAAATTTAAATTTTTCTAGTTATGTTAACTATAAGCTTACTAATTTCCTAAAAATTGGAAAGAAGTATTTAACAGACCTTTTTATAATATTCTGTAACATTTTCACTTAACTAAACAATACACATTGCGGTCGGTTATCTGCTGACCACATCAGATTTTTTTTTTAGTATGAGAAATCTGTGTTTTACTAGCAATTGCTTCATATGTATGGAGAATACAATGTGTATGGAATACACATTTATTCTATACATAGCTCATATTTCTTTACTTTGCTTAAATTCTTTTACACTAACACTATACATTATTAAGTTATATGAATTATCTTTTTTATAATTTTTATTTAAATTTTTCTTTTCTGATTTGGAAAAAAAAACAATTTTGTTTTTTATGTTTAACTAACTTTTATGTCTAACTAAAAATCTTAAAATATTACGTTAAAAATTGTCAATATGAGAAAATGACATTAAAATCACAACCAATGCCGCCAAATTATAAGGTCCTCAAGCTGTTTGACTTAAAGAAAAATTTGTTAGAAATGGGCATGCCATGGATCGTTGTTCTCAAACAAAAATGAAAAACAAATGTTCTGTTAAATTGTTAGACTTTTGAGATCCCCTATGAATTTGATTTCTTTGGTTAAAAGTTTTTTGAAAAGGCGAGCTCTCACTGAATTTTTTTTCATATTTTATGAAGTGGCCTGTACTTTTTTTATTCATTCTAAGTACAAGGTGGGTAAAAGCAACGTATGAAAACATTACTTCTAAACAATAAAAATTAGGGGAACTTTTAGGAAAACTTTTAGATAATATTTATACATATGTATATAAAATTAAGAAAATTAGGAATATTAGGAAAACTTTTAGATAATATTTATACATACATAATTATTACAAAGGTTCCGAAAGGGTCAGTGAAGCGATATATGTTGCCGCATCCAGTTAGCAACTCTTAGCCACTCCTACCCAATTCCTACACTCACCTTCACGTGGTGGAACCTGTTAACCTGAGTAACCTGCATGAGCGATTGGGTATCAACCCCAGTGTAGTAATCAGGTCAGGAACAAACGAGAGAGGGGAAAGCGCTACTGCCTTGTAGCTGATTAGATTGGTTCTTCAAAGGCTGGGAGATGAAAACTCCGAAATAAAATAAAATCCAGGAGCGTCTGACCCAGAATGGGCGGCTTCCTGGTCTGCGTCTGATCTTATAGGGACAGCAGTCATTAAAAGAAGGAAAACCATAAACCCTTCAGAAGAAAACGGGAAACCACTGAAGTAATATCTCTAGAAAAATCACATGGAAGTGCAAAATCAACAAAGGCCGTCATTCTCCGGCAATACGAGGGTGCTAAGAATCCCCGGAGACGATTCTATATTCTTTAATTCGGGCAACAACAACACAAGCCACCATAAAGGTGTTGGAATTATCCTGCCAAAACATATGAAGCAGTACGTGAATGAATTCATCCCATATTCACACAGAACATTACTTCTCAAACTTAACGCTAAGCCTGTAAACTTAAATATTATCCAGGTCTACGCTCCTACAGTTGATAAGGATGAAGACGAAGTAGAAATATTCTACAAAGATATCAAAAACGTCTTCAAACTGACAAAAGCACATGATGTCAATATATAAATGGGCGCTTTCAACGCTAAAATTGGTTGTGGTAAAGCAGGGAAAGCTGTTGAACCGTTTGGGTTAGGCGCGCGAATTGAAAGAGCAGACAGACTGTTTTAATTTTGTCAAGAATACAGCCTTAACTAACTAACACTTGGTACAAACTTCCTTCTAGAAAGCTATATATCACCATGTGACAGCCCAACGAATATAGTAAGAAATCAAATAGACTATATCGCAATTAACCACCGATTTGCTAATTCAATCATCAAAATATCAACATGTCCAGGAGCAGATGTTCCATCTGATCACAATCTACTTTTGGCAAAAATGAGATTGAAACCCACGTCTACCATCAAACCCCGAAGAACCCCTAAACCGAACCTAGAAAAGTTCAAAGACATTAATATAAAAACAAGAATTTCAGGTGAAATAAATGATCAAATAAAATCTATTAATCTCGTCAATAACAGCTTCGACAAAATATGGCGTAATACAAAAACGATTTTAAATGAAATTTCACTGAATATGCTTGGGAAGAAGAAACCATCTCCCAAACAAAAATGGATGACCCCAGAAATCCTATTTTTGATGGAAAAAAGAAGGGAGTTTCGAAATGGAAACCGATTGGAATACAACCGACTAAATAAAGAAATAAGATCGCAATTTAGAAGAGCAAAAGAAAACTGGATGAACGAACAATGTAACATAATGCATTAGAGCGTCCTCATCATCTACATGACGACTTCAACCTTCATAAGAAAGTGAAGGAATTTTCAGGATCTTTCAGAAAACCGAATTCATCCTATCTAACAAATTGCCAAAATGTGATAGTTCCTGATCCACAAAAGCGGAAAGAACTGGGAAAACTACATCTCAGATCTTTTTGAAGAATCTGAAAGAAGCTTCAATTATGAAGACGAGTTCGATGACCAATCCCATCTTCCAATAACAAAAGCGATATTTAAT